AAGTTGGACCCATAAACTTCAGTTTCAATGCGGTTGAAATTAAAGCCATCCTTTTTAAATACTCTTCAGAGTAAATTTAATGTAATGTATTTCTATGAGTATAATGTTTCATTTTTTTCTGAGTTTTAATTTACAGCTAATCTTGCCAAACAGTTGGATCCGTCAAACAGAGCTAAAAATGGTAAAACCCTTTGGGCAGCTTCTTCTAAAGTATTTAACTGTTTACTGTGGGTTTTTTTGGATGGTCATTTATCAATATTGATTAATAATTCATGCAGTAGAGATGAGAGGTCAAGATGAGAAATGAAAAAACAAACATCTTTCTCTCGAAAAAATTTTAAAATCTATTCTGGTCAGCAATTTATTGCCACCATGACTGTCTTGTTTTCATTTTCCCATAATTTTCTAGTGTACAAACATACATTGGCATGATTCTAAATAAAATCTTTACTGATACTTTATGAATCAGTATAAATTTTTAACATGTCCTGCCATACTTACTGAAATAATGTAATTTACTTTTGTAGATCTGACCTAACTGAGGTTAACTCTATATTTCATGAATCAGTATGAAGTTTTTACATGTCATGCTATACTACTGAAATAATGAAATGTACTTTTGGCAAAGTTTTGCTGATCTGACCTAACTAAAGGTTGTAGTAGACTGTAGGACATCCTCTAGTGTCTAGCCCTGTCAATATTATCGGATATTATTTCCGTTATTGATATGTCTTCTTTCAATGAAAAAGACAGTGTATTGTTTAGCTCAAGAATATTATTTGATCTTTTATAAGCTGACTTATTTTCAGCTCAATAACTAAATGTGTGTTTTGATAGGAAGTTGTAAAACTTCATTCGGTGATTGTCACATATCAAGTAGCGAAAATATAAAAAGAAAATTGTACTCAGTATGTCAGTGTAATAGTGGCCGCATTTTTGTTATTTACAATAACTTTATTTTAGCAACAGCTACCAAACATAATGATAATAATTAAAGGAGCTCTGACTCAGGTCAAAACGCTTAAAACATAAAATTTGAAATTTTTACATGGATACCAAGTGAAGCACTTAAAATGGAAAAATCTGCATAAGATAATAAAGAAATATACACAGAATTAAATCATCATAGTAAGTTCAAATCGTAGCAAGATTGGAGTGAAAAGTTTTGGTTTTTTTTGTAATTTTACACAAGAAAAATGATCTTTCTGGAAAAACAGGGTGAGGGATTGCCCTGAAAATTTTCACAAAGTTACTGGTTCCGATCTAGTCATCAAAATGGTTCACAAATCTCAGAATATATTTCCAGTCTGATCATGTTAAAAAAAACCTCAGTAGACTGTCCCTTTCTTGAATTGTTTCCATGATAAGAAGGTCTGACTTAAGTTTGGCCACTAGTTTAAGTTACAGTGGCACCTTACAATTTCTCGTCTTTCACTACAAAACTCTGGTGACTTGATTCAGTTGATTGCATAACTCTTAGTAATTTTTTTAACATTGTGGTCAAGTGCATAACAATTTTCTTTGATGATATTAAATTCACTCACTGAAGAATTATTGCAGAGCAGAAAGTGATGCACTTGAAACGAAGTGCACTAAAAATTAATTTCTAAGACTTTGTCATTGTGAAATTGCCCTTTGCAGGAATAAGCTGTTGTAGTGAAGCTTTGATGGAGAATTTATTGGAAGTCATCGATACTTTATGATTATAGTATTATTACAGTCTTACAAGTTTCCCCGGCAGGCTGATTGGTTTTATTGAGAATATCGGGTTGCGGAACTAAATCAGAATTTTGTTCCTAGAGAGAATTATTTGATTAATATGGTGCTTTACATTAGTAAACCTTTTAATTGCAGGCGATATTGATCTGTTAAGGCAGATTTTATATTTTGCTTTAAATTTTAGAACCAGTGTTCAAAGTGACAAAATGAGCCTCGTAAAAATACTCAGATGTGTGAAATGTTCTTTAAATAGTTGTAAAAAAAGAGTTATATCATCTGTTGCACTTCTGTTTCCTTTCATCTAGTATCAATATTTTCTTTTATCTTGAATTCAAAGGTTACTAATTGCTATTTCTGAACGTGACCTTCTGGCCTAGTCATTGGGTTTGTCCATGTCTCTTGGTCATTACCTTTGTTATTGTCTATGTTCATTTTTTTCACCTTCCGATTACAGTTATTCCAAATTAGAGCAGTGTTGACAAGGTCGTAATTAGGCCATGTTACTAGTGTTCAGTAGGTCGGAAACCGTTTATTCTCAAAACGGATATTAATAAATGGCCAGAAGAATTGACTAAATGCGGTTAATTGAAACAATTATTGACATTTTATCAATTTTGCTATTACACCAGCTCTTAAGTTACCAGTTCTTGGAACACTTGCGTGAATTTTATTGGTTAATGATAAGGTACATCAGCTTGAAAGAACTGTAAATAGTTACTTCAGATTTATGGCATTTTGTCAGGTAGATGATTAAGAATGTCAGTCGGTGGCCGATGACGTCACTCACCTTTAATTGACTTGATTTTGTCTTAACCATGTCTTGATTATGATGCAACGTTGATATAGGCGACTTGATGTTGAAATGTGCATGATGACATTACCTTAATGAGCTGTTAGTGCAGGATCATGATAGGAATCATGATTAGATGTAATATATACATGCGAAATTAGTGTTGCACAATGATATCGATCAAAATTTAGCATTTTTATGTTTAATGATTCAACAGTCCGATTTTTTGTTTCTTCTTCATATTTCTTAAAGTGCAATAAAAAAATTTTGTTTGAATTTTGAAAAAATAATTATTTCGAAAATATAACCTGTATGAAAGAAATGTGTTTGTATACTCCCTTTTTAATGATGCGAAATTAATCCTAATACACCATTATGTGAAAAAGTCTATCCTAAAGTTATATTTGGAACAGTTTTAATATATAAGATATTCATGTTTGCTAAGTAATAGAGACATTCTATGTAACTCTTTTCAGAATCGCCTTAGTGTAATATTATGAAAACGGTATAATATTTTGTATAAATTTTATAAAAATATTTCATTACATACATCTTTATACCTTTTAAAGTACATGTAATTGATTATTACACAATTGTTTGCTTCAAGCCACAAATTTTTTCTAAATGATATAAAGTGCAGTTTTTTTTATTACAAAATATTTTTTAAATTTTATCATGAAGATAAAGGTTTTCTTAACTGACAAAATGAAATAAAGAATCAGGAATCTGCTTCATCTTTTAAGTTTTCCATTTATTTTACTCTTGGGACCATTTGAGTAATTGGAATCATCTTACTTATGTAACAACTGATTAAAAAAAAACAACTGACAATATTTTCCTATATAATTGTTTATTAATATTCTGCAGTAATTCCTGCCACAGCAAGTTTTATGTCTCTTTCATTATTTTTTCAAGATTTAAAACGATGGAAATGTAATTAAATTAATCAAGAATCTTAAATATACTTAAAGAAACAGATTTTTAACTTTTATATTTTGAAGATCCACAATATTATGTTGAAATACTTTTGGGCCAAAACCTTTTTATATACAATAAGTAGCAAAGTACAAAAATACTAACTGTAATATACCAAAAAGATAAAGCAACAAAATAAAGTTCATCTATATGGCCAATGATTACTTTTGCAGAAATTGTAACAGGAAACCAAAGATAAGAAGTTCTTTGACTAATGAAAATTAAAGCATTTTTGGGTCATAAAGTGTGATTTCCAAAAAAAAAAAAAATGCCAAGTAATTTTTTTTGGTCAGATCTGTGATATACAGCTGTTGTCAGTGGTCAAATAAATAAATCAATTTTATCATCATTCAAGTTGTTATTTATGTTCTTTTAAAAACTTCCTAAATTAAATTCGATGCTTTAAAATGAGAAGCATAATGTTTTAATTTGTCATAAAGGAGTGATTTTAAGTCAATTAAGCTCTTTTTCCGTTGACTTGATTAAGTTGAAATTTCTATTTTCAGTGTGGAAATTTCAATTTTTAAATGCATTGACTGTTTTTACTTCATTGCGTCATAAAATGATTAGTTAAAAGGGATTTCTTTCCAGAAACACAATTTTGAATTTTAGAAATTGTTGCAATCAACTATTTATATAAAATGACTGACATAGACCTTGGCTAAGATTCTTGCAGTAGAAATTTCTAGACAAAATTTAGTTTTGATGAAATCTATATGTACAAAAAAGAAATACTTGAATACAACTTTTAAAAACTCTAAGAAAATTGGGAAGATTTTAAACAAACCGTTAAAACATTCTCTACTTCTTTTTCAAATGATAAAAACTTGTACTTAATATATAATTAAATTATAATACATTTATTTTTTTTGTGAAAAAAAAAAGAACAACATATAATAAATTTATTACATTTGTATGTGCTGATTGGGGGGAAATCTTAAATTATAAGGAATGTTCAAGGTTAAATTAAGAGTGATGATGTCCAACAGTTTTGCAAATTTGGAAAAAGGCCTAAAATTTTGGTAAAATAAAATTACTGATACTTTATCACTTTGGAATTGAACAATTGTGAAAACAAATAATTATAAGAGCATTTTGGATGCTTTATGACAAGAAGATGGAAGCGCTGAATGTGAAATTATTTTTCAAAAAAGTCACAAAATGTAAAAAAAAGTGGTATTTTGACTTTAATACAAAATAAATACAAACTGGCAATAAGCAACAGATTATTCAGGTATATATTATGTTTAAAGAATAACTTAAAAGACACTAAAATTAAACTTTTGACAAATCAAGATAAAAGCATTTCTGGTCGTTAGAAATAATGTTCCTCAAAAGAAATTTTACACACATGAGGGTAAGGGCAATGTTTTATATTTGTAATAAAATTTGAGGCCAAGGTTTGATTTTTAAAAAAAGACAGCTTAGATTTTCTATATTATTGTTTTTACATTTCCTTACCAAAAATAGCACATTTATACTTCATATCTAATAAATGACTCTAAAGTGAGTTAGTAAATACTTCCTGGTTTCTTATCATAAAACAAATATGGCAGCTGAATGTCTTAATTGATTTAAAAAAACCCCAGCTTCAAAACGGTATTGGATAAAGTGGTGGAATTAATTTTATCGTGGAAAATATTCTCAAAAGAGCTATGTTACGCAGCACGTGCTCTCAATGTTTTCTGTTTATACAGGGCTATTGGTTGTCACGAAGAACCATTAACAACATCTTTGTTTATGTTTTGATTATTGGGAAGAGGACTATTTTTCTCTGGTCCAAATAACCCATGGCAACTGAGCAGCGTAGGAATACGATAGACATTGTACAAGTTTAGTTTGAAATTAAAGAGACTTGTAAGAAAGTAGCATTAACGTGAGAAAATTAATCTTAATAAAAGATAGATGAAAAGAAGTGGTAACGTTCTAGATATTAATAAATAAAGAAACAATAATTGATGACTTATTGTTAAATATTTAGAAGAATGGATACTTTAGTTTTGTCTAGTTTTAGTTCTTGCATAACTTGTGGTATAAAAATTGCTGTAATAGATGTTGATTCGGAGTATTTGTGGTCAAAACAGACTGAGTTACAGGTAATTTATAGTACCTATAGAGATAAATTATTATTTTTAAGGGTAGTCATTGAAAAAAAATGGAATAGTAATAGATTTTTTTTTTCCTTTCTTTTTTTTATAAATTTGAATTTTATCTGTACTGTAAAAAGAGTATAAGGAGCTATTTACTTTCTTTTGAGTGTATTTTTTGTGTTCAATTTAAATTTATTTGCTTTGCTTTCGATAGTTGTTTTTATAACTAATATAACGCTTATATAAAAAGTAAGATTTGTAGACTTATTCATTAAATTTTAAGCTTATAGTAAATAAAAAAAAAATGTGAAAGAAATTTAGATTTTGTATGTAATATGATAATTTGATTAGATCAAAAATGGTGCAAATGACCAGAGCTAACTGACTTCAAAATCATGCTTTTAGTAAATAAAAAAAAATGAGAAAGAAATTTAGATTTTGTATGTAATATGATAATTTGATTAGATCAAAAATGGTGCAAATGACCAGAGCTACCTGACTTCAAAAATCATGAAAAGTCAATGTAGTGTAAATGCCTCTCAAAAGTTTCCTTTCCTGTTTGAGTAATTGCACTACAAGATTTGTAACCATTTTGGTAGAGAAGGGTTGTTAATGCACAGATATATCCCTTGTTTTTTACACCTGAACCATTCCAGTCTCAGCTTTGCAAAATTTGTATCCTTTTTAAGAGATCAAAAAAAATTCTACTTATCTGCTTGTTATTACAAGTATAAATTAAGAGAACTTTATGCAGGATGAGTAGAAAAATGTAGCCCGCACATTGATTCTAGAAGCTCCTACAGGACAGATGACTGAAAATATTTTTAGATGCCTGCTTTTTGAAAAAATATTGTCTTTTTATTGTATATATGAACTACATGTATTTACAGAAAAAGAGTCGGAGAAAATCTTTACTACGTGTATCATCACTGGCTAACCTGCTCTCACCAAAAGCAACAAGAAAAGAAACACTCAAGGTTAGTATGTTTCTTTTATATATTTACCCTCTAACCATCAACCTGCCAGAATTCTTAAATAGACTTACCAGCTTCCATTTTAACACACCAGCATAAAGAGGTGATCTTTTCTAATGGCAATGTGTCTGTCCCAATTGTTCCTCATCCCTCGTTATCCACAATTTCTTTAAAAAACTACTTAATGGATTTTGACCAAACTTGACATGAAGGATCCCGAAATGGTCCTTTACAAAAGTTGTATAAATATTCAAGCCTGATGCCTGAGTAGGTCATAGTAGCTAGAAATAGACTCTCAAAATGACATCTGTAAAAAGATAATATAAATTGAAAAAATAATTGTAATATCGCCTTGTGGACCACTTCAAAGTTAAACAAAATCTTTTACTGGGGTCAAAATTGGTCCTGCCCTGGGTGTCACTAAATTTTATATAGACTTGCATGTAGTAAAATATTTTAAAAGACTTCTCAGAAACTACAATGCCTAGAGCTTAGACATAATGTATTATCACCTTGTGGTCCTTCAAAAGTTGAATAAATCATGCCCCTGTGATCAAAATTGACCCTGCACTTTCATTTTGTGAAGCTACTATGCCAAAAAAAGAGACTTGATTTTTTGGCATGTAGCATTGCCTTGTATAGTCAAATTGTCTTAAAATCTCAGAAAGTACAATGCCCAGAGGTAAGATAGTTTGCTTGTAGCATCTCCTTTATGTCCTCTACAAATATATATAATAATGCCACTGGAGTCAAAATTTGTTCTTTCCCAGTTAAAATGGTTAGCCACTAAAAGTACTTGCCAGTTGGAGATTACCGTAAAATTCCTAATAAGCGCCACTCCCCTAATAAAAGCCCCCCCGCTTTTTAATATGGAAAAAAAATCTGCTCATCAATAGTGAACTCTTTAAAAAATCCGTAATTTTATTCAAATCCTTCAGAATCCATTTTATTTCATAGTAATCACAAAAATTAATCACATGAACTTTAAAATCATAACACATTTTAATATTATTGCCAACACTTGTTAACACTAAATGTATTTTCAATGATTTTTGGTTTTAGGAAAAAACATGTTGTAATAATAGCCCTCCTTTTGGAAAATGTTTAGCCCCCGGGGCGTTTGATAGGAATTTTACTGTATGCTTTTAAATTGGAGAGCTTTATATACATGTACATCATAAATACATCAAATTGCAATAATAAAGTTAGAAACCTTTTTTTAAAAAAAATAAACTAAGAAAACAACAAACATGCAAAGAATAACAAAATATGTATGAAATCAAGTATTTTCTAAAATTTTCTCTTGGCATGTAAATATAAAATAGTTTAAAAAGAATTTAAATTTGGATTATTAACTAGTAAATCTATTTACTTTAATGATTTTCTGTTAGGAAGATTTTACAAGATATATTTACTATGAATATTAAAGTAAGGTTACATAACACTTGAATTGATTTTTTGATTATCTATGAAAAAAGAGATTGCGACTAAAGACTGGGAAAATTTTGCCCTGTATTGGAATTCGAAGTGTGTAGCCGTAGTCAAGTGTCATAAATTAAAAATAACCGTCAGATTTATCAGGTTTCTGACACAGTTTGACGTCATAAAAATCATAGGTGCCTTCTGCTGTGCTAGGTACTTTTGTGGCGTGATTTCCTTCTTCATTTTTGCTTAAGACGTAGTAACCAGGGACTCATTATGTTGTCGGTATAAACCGCAGTAACCAATAATTAACAGTTATCTTACTGATCAGAAGAAATAAAACACTGTTTGCATGCCAAGTCTCTCTTAATTAAGATGAAAATAAAAAACAAAAAACCCTCTCCAATCAATGGCATGTTCCCTAGATCTGTGCTATAACTCGAAGTATATAATTCTGTTGAGGAAAATCCTCACATTTATAATTATGGAATAAAATATCTCATTCTGCCTTAGTTATTACATCAGTTTTATCCTTTATCAACATGTTTTGAATTTTATTTGGTAATAAATACATTTTGTACAGTACTAGTTATTCTTGAAATCATTAAATTTACAATGCATGTATTAGGTCAGTGTATCACTCCATCATCTGTTCGGAATAAGGGCACTGTGCATTATTTTACGCTTCTTTATGTCTGCTAATACCGACATGCCATAGAGGAAAATAGAATGTTGATTTGATGCATTTACACTGTTACTTTTTACTCCATTACCTTCTTAAAGATCCTGTATGTTGTGATTAAAGTGGTAAACGACGAGAAGTAAATTGTGTTACAGGATCTTTAAATAAATGCTTAAATAAACTTGTCCAGCTTCCATTTCTTGAACTATCCATAATTATTATAAGGGATATCAAATTGAAAATTTGAAGTTTGTCAGTCAACAGTTAAGAACCTGGTCAGACTGCACAAATAGCCTGGCTCTATACTGGTCACTCGGTTTTAGCATGTTAAGGCATCGGTCAGTTGTAACTCCTCTGCTCCTCATGCCAGGTGAGTGCAGTCGGGGTTTTGTTTTGACGTAGAAATAGCAAGGGATGTGAACATTCACAAACTTAGGATAAACACATTCTTCAAACATGGTGTCAAGGCAATGTTTTTTGTTTTGTGAATTTAAGCCTCCAATTTGTGACAGTGAAGGCCTTTCCCTTTAAGCTACAATTAACAGCTCTTCTGGGGTAAAGGGGAAAAAATCCTGAAGAAATGCAGATTCCCATGGTAGTCTGCAGATTAATAAACAAGTCCCAGGCACAATAAGTGCCATGTAGAGGGCTAATAAATAAAATAAATTAGGTGGCCAATAGAGGAGGGATAGTGTAATGTGAATGGGATGTTATAATTTATGATTGTCTGAGGAGGATGTTATTTGGCATTGAATGACAAACAGGCCTGTATGACAAACTCTTAATTGATTTCCATATATGGAAATCTCCTTGTCTGTAAAACATGGCTTACGTTTTGACTGCCAGTGCATTCACCTGAAAATTGATTTCTTATTTATTGGGTGAAGATCAGCTGTCATCATGTATTGTCTAAGTATAACTTTGATTTATTTAGAGATTACAGCCATAATAGAAATATATCATGTTGCCTTTTGAATATTTTGTTGACGTTTTACTTAGATGTGACATATCAAGTATTTATAAAAAAAGCGAGTGATTTAAGTGACCAACTTTTATTTCATAGACAGAAAAGTATTTGATAAGTTCAAAATCAAAACTATATTGAACTCAGTGTTACTTTATGCACTGTTTATTTATTTATTTATTATTTTATTTATTGTTTGTTTTTTAACGAAATTTAAATTTGTATTAATCAAGATTACTGAATAATGACTTGTTTAATTTCAGTGAACTGACCACAGAAGTTCAGTTTATTGAATAAAATCCCATAAAAATCAGTAATAACAATATTGGCCCCTAGAATTTATGTTGTTTAATACAAGTATTATAAATCCCTTACAATTTTTAATTTTTTTTTTGACAGCTCATAAAATTTTCATCATTATGTGAGCCACGTCACTACAAAACCAACATTATGTTGGTTTAGCCTTGACATGGCTCATATTATTATTCAGCTATATTTCATTGTTTTCTTTGCAGAGATCACTCAGCTTCAAGGTTCCAAACCTTCCAAACACGCCACGTAACACTATATCACCATATAAAGCTCCGCCCCCGTCTCCGGGACGATGTCGTCTGTCACGTACCTGGAGTGACATGATGAACGAAGATGGAACGATGCTGTCTAAACTCAGCCATCATGATATCAAGCATCAAGAGGTACATTTGATTACTTATCTTCACTGACCTTGTCCGGTTCCTTTTATCTGTATGTTAGCTTCAGGCCTCTGCAGCACAGCGGTTAAGGTTCCCAACGTTGAATCATTTGCCGCTGACTGCCATGGAGAATGAAGTCTATGAAATCTTTCATGTGGAGAAGATAAGATTTGTAGTTTAATAGAACATTATGTGGCATAATTATAAAGTGTGAGAATTTCCATTACTTTGACATTAATTAATTTTAGATATGAATTTATTGTGTATTGAAAACATTTTAAAAAATAGAGAGAAATTTCAAAGAAATATTAATAAGTACCAGCATTATCTAGCAGCCCTTTGATTTAAGACTTATCTTTCTTGTATTTAAGACTTTCTTTCTTTGATTTAAGACTATCTTTCTTGTATTTAAGACTATCTTTCTTGTATTAACAAACAACATGGCCATACTTTTAGCTGCAAGCTGTCTGGGAAGCAGTTAAATGTACCTTTAACAAGTGCCATCCTAAAAGGCACTGAGTGTAAGAGGTTGACAACTTTCTTCAAAACTAAGTAGTACTAAAGTAGCTGTTTATATTACCAGTGTAGAGAAAATAAGATGATAAAAAAAGCCTGTATTAAGGCATTTAGTGTCATAGATTCATGGTAACAAGTGTCACATTCCAATTTTCATGACAGTGTAATAACCTGTATAATAATTACAAGACAAATAAGGAGTTGAATCCGTACATTGATATATAAATTAGTTTAATAGTATACAGACATAGATATAAAGATGGTTAATATTAATTTTTCTGTATTCAGAAATGAAAGGGTCATAAAAATCTCCTTGATTAAGCTACAGTTCAACTTCTGCCAAGCAACACAATTTTGGATACAGAGATTTTGGTTCTTGTTGAGAGGTGTTACACTAGGGAGGTTAAATTTATTGTGAAACCTTTCAGTGGGAAAAAATTATTGATGTATAGAGGTGATTGCTATATGAAGGGCTGCTCTGTACATGCTGTACTGGAGTTTTAACTCCTTCCTCATTTTTCTGTACATCTCACCTTTGCCCTACTGGTTCAGTTACCTCATTTTGGTTAATTGAATTTGATACCTACATTGTGCAGCCCTTTGAAATATTTACTTTGTGTGCGTTTAAAAAACATAAATAATGCACAGTCTGTTTCTATTTTCGCCTTATTAAAGATTGAAGAAATTGAGTTGTAAATTTATGTTTAAGGCCATTAGTTAATTGAAAATAAAATGATAGAGTGGATAAATAAAAGAAGTACTAGATTAATGAGTGTCTGAGACATTATTGTTAAATTGCATGTATTGAAGTGACAGTAGCCTTAAAGTATGTGATCATACAGTCTGGGTATTGTTGAACTTGGTAGTCACCTGATTTAGTCTTGCATCTTTGAGTGAACCAGACTTGTGGATTGATTGATGTAAAAGGGTTAAACTACAAACTTGACATGCATTACTGTGTGTCATATCAACAAATCTTATCTCCTTTTCAGTATCATTTATTTTACCTTTTAAAATTATTCAGTGCACAGTACCCCCCCCCCCCCCATTTTCATTTTATCATTCTTTTTATTAGTGAAAGTTAGGTTTCATTTTTAGCTTGACTATTCGATAAGAATAAGTAGAGCTATTGCAGTCACCCGAGCGTCGGCGTAACCACTTATGTTAAAGTTTTTGTAATAGTTCAAATATTTTCAAAGTCCATTGACATATGGCTTTGGAACTTTGCACACTTGTTCACCATCATGACCCCAACCTGTAGACAGGAGGAGGTAAGTCTATCAAGCATTTTGACAGAATTATGCCCCTTTTTCGACTTAGAATTTATGTTAAAGTTTTTGTAATACCTTAAATATTTTCCAAGTCCATTGACATATGGCTTTGGAACTTTGCACACTTGTTCACCATTATGACCCCAACCTGAAGACAGGAGGAGGTAACTCTATCAAGCATTTTGACAGAATTATGCCCCTTTTTCGACTTAGAATTTATGTTTAAGTTTTTGTAATACCTCAAATATTTTCAAAGTTCATTGACATATGGCTTTGAAACTTTGCACACTTGTTCACCATCATTACCCCAAGGAGGAGGTAACTGTATCAAGCATTTTTTTTTACTATCAAGCACTAAGAATAGTCGAGCGTTGCTGTCCTACCGACAGCTCTTGTTTTCACTATGTCTATTCTATATGCTTATGCAGTTTTGTTTTTCCTAAATGGAATATCTTTAGATTTAAAATCATGAGTTTCACTTGTAACCTTTATTACAAGTAAAACTAGTCAATTCTGTTATAGATTTGAGATTTTTTTGCCCATAAACTTTCCTTGTATGAGGACTCACATACCAACCAGATGATGAACTATTTTGAAGAAAGGTGTAGTCATTTATGCTGTTTTTGTTATATACCAGGAAATGTCGGGGAGAAATGTTGAAATGAGGCCATTGACTTTCTTAAACCATGAAATCATGTACTAATTTATAAAATTTCTCGCTCGATATGAAAGCCTTTGCTTTTTTTTGTGTTTTTGTTTTAATTTAGTTATTGTTCACATAATTTGTAAATTTTTTATTCTAGGCTATTTATGAGCTATACCAGGGGGAATTGGACCTGATTGAAGATCTGAATGTTGTGAAAAATGTAAGTCATTAAACATAGTGTTTCTTGTCATCATGAATATTTGATGTGACCATTCCTCTTACCTGATTAAGATTTTTTAGATAGATTATCCTCAGATGCCCTAGAATCATCCATTTCCATGACACCATTTTTATTCTTGTGAAATTATTATGAATTTGTGTGTTATTCATGTAGGTACATAGTTTTGAATTTATTTTGGTTAAACAAAAAGTTTTGAGGGTTTCTTTTTCAATAACTATTTCATATACATGATGTATTTTCAAATGATTGATTGTACAGTTGAGCAGGGAGTGTTAGGAAAAATAAAACAACAAAAAAACATCCCCTAATTAGCCTAATATTAGTGTTTTAGCTATTTTTGAAAGTCCGTGAGTTACCAGTGATATTGAAAGACCTGTGTCAGCAGCATAGGGCCATGTTATTGTACATATTATCTGTTTAGTCTGACCTGACTCTTGTTGGCTGATTCCGGCACTTCATTTTCCCAGAATTATTAATTTCATGATGAAAAATAACCAGAATTGAAAAGCATTGCAATGTTGAATGGTTTTCACTCAAATTGACCAAAGAAAAGCACAGAAATATGATTTTCAATTAAATTCTGTGTATATTTCTTCATTATCTTTCGCACTTCTTTCCAGTTTTAAATGTCCCAGCTGATCTGTGTATTAAAGTTATTCAAATTTGATATTTATGACCTCAGTGGAGTTCCTTCAAGCAGAGTACTGGAAAAGTAATAATTTTATATTTTAGACATATCGGGACTCATTGCATAAACTACAGTTGATGACAGATGGAGAGTTAGAGCAGATCTTTGGTCCTATTGATGAACTTATGCCTATACATGAAGGTAAGATTATTCATACCAAGGGAAAGTTGACCCATCTACAAAATAGCATTCACTATACGATTAATGGGAAATTTTTTTGTTGTTAAAATTAGACCCCGTCTTATGACTAATCTTATGAGTAGTCAATCTGAAATGCTAGTAAATATTGTACCAATCTCAAGTCTGGGAATTTTTACAATGCTATGTTGATGTAAAGGAGAGGAGTGCCATAGTATCTGAATGTGTTGAAAAAAAATTTGGCAGAATTAAAAAATTGAATAATAATTTTGTACACATTTGTACAAATATTTGAGATAACATGTATGGTTTATTTGACAGACCTGGTCAACAGAATGAAAGGTCAAAGGTTACCAGATGGGACAACACAAGAGATAGGATATCAGCTGAGAGAATGGGTGAGTTAGTTTTTTGTTAAAACATCCGGATATTGAAAATGAAAAGTTTTAATACAATGCACAAGAGAGGATAAAACGCTTGTGAAGTCTAGTTTTTGAAAAAAAAACAATCATTCTGTTGTAATCTTTTGAAAAGTATAGTGTAACTTTTGAAAATCGAACACCTTTGGGACTAGCCAAAAAGTTCGAAATAAGTAACATAGAAAACAAAAGGAGAAATTCTATGATCCTGAAAAATGTTCAGATTTCAGAAGTTTCTGGATTTTAGAATTCTGAAATTCGGAAGTTAGACTTATCATTGTTCTAAAGACGGTCACACTGCATAGGTAACACTGTATCTATGCAAAGCTGCATTAGTACTTTGTGTATGTAAAGTCTTAAAATATTTCAGTTTTTAATTTGAAAATGGTGTATATATATTTTTTTGCAGATTCCCAGTTTGAAGGTGTATATATCATTTTGTGCTAACCAAGTGTTTGGTAAGGTATTGTTAGATGAGAAGAAGAATGATCCAGCAGTTGATGATTTCTTACAGAGATGTCAGGAATCCCCTTTCAGCAGGAAGCTAGATCTATGGGGACTTCTAGGTATACATTTATATACTTAACCTTGAATTACAAAAATGTTTCTTTTTGAGAATTAATACACATTTATGTCTTACTAGACATATTTGTCTGTCCTTAGCCCCTATTTTTCTCAAACAGAATTCAGTTTTTTAAAGTGTGTTCAGCTGTATATCTGCTGCAAAAAATATTTTTTCAATTTTAAGACCTGATATTTCCAAACTGCTTTTATGAAATAATATTATAGTAAATTGCCTTACAAATGGTGCATACACAACATTGTTAAACAGATAAAACAGTATTTAATAAAGTAGAAGAATATTTTGTTCTGGAGCATTTTATTCTGTTTACATAAAGAAATTCATGTGACAAAAATATTTGTCAAAAAATTGAGGAAATTTCTTGAATGACTTCCAAACACGCCATGTAACACTATGTGTTCCACTGTGCATTATCATTGATTTTCATGATCAGTCTGAAAGCAAAAAATGCAGTTAATGTGAATATTGTTGTTCTTATTACTAATTTAAACAATATTGATGAATATTTACAGATGGTGCAAGAGGCAGATTCATGAAGTACCCTTTGTTGTTAAGAAGTATTCACAAATATGTAAGCAACTTTCTTAGCTTTTTCTTGTATATGATAATTGAAAATTATATTAATCTTTGTTACAATTGTTTTGTTGCTTTTTAAAGGCTTTTTTAAAAAGAAATAAATATATATAGAAGTAAAAACTAAACTTATTGATACATCTGTTCATTGATTCAGAATTGAACCATACTATTAAAACATTTTCAGGTAAAAACAAGTACAAAAACTTGTCAGAACGCATGTTAAACATAAATGTTAGTAAATTATGATTTTAGAAGGATGGAAGGATAAGTGATACATTGCATGTTTTCAGAGCACAGATTGGTTAGATTGTCAGCACCTAGCCGAGGCTGTGAGGTTGGCGGAGGAGGTGGTTGCCGAGGCTGACAAGAAGACTGGAGGTGCTAAATGTATCTACTATAGAGCCAGGATATCATACCTATATGATGACCAGGTTTGTCAACTTGATAACTTTATGTTTGCTCAGGGTAACATTGATATTATCAAGAGTTTCTATGAAAATAAAAAAAGAATTGAACCAAGAAATCTAAGGACCTGAAATTACCATTTTAAGAAGCTACGAATGAGGCCCTTATGAAATTTGTAACGATGGCAGTTTACTATTTTGAACAAATAGATTTCACAGTAAAAATGGTCCTAGGATTGGAAACTTACCTCGACTATTAGCTTTGAACAATAGTCCTTATGACCATTATATGTAAAAGTCCTAGCAAAGAGATGATAGTTAGGTTTTCAGTATGCATGGTACATTGTATATGGCAAATAAAGCATGAAGGTGGGACTGAATGTATATTAAATGTAATTAGTCGCCTAACTCAATATAAAATGTATTATTATTGCAGAAGCATCCTGACATAGAGAAAGCTACAACTTTGTTGTGTAATGGAACATTAAAGAACAATAAAGGAACAGTAAGTACAAAAAAAAATAACTGAATATCTAAGATACATGACTATCTATTTTAGTAACAACTAAACAAGACTGGATATCTTTGTAACATGGATAAATGTCTTAGTGACATGACTTTAGTTGTTAAGTGCAGTTTTACAATATTTTAATCAAGAATCAAATAAATTATAGTAGTTTCATTCCCCTGAAACATTTCCCATTTGCAAATTTGTAATGATATTTCTGATTGTACTTTTCTTTCAATTTTAAAACTGTAACATATAATATGTTTTGGCTTAATTAAAAAAATAAAAATTGGTATCATTTTACAGAAGCTACAGTTGTTTTTGTTTGATACAATATTGGTGGTTACACGGTTGGTAACACATAATGGTCAGCAAGGTTTCCAGGTGTACAGGGACCCTATACCAGTATCACAACTCGTTGTGGAAGACCTGAAAGATGGGGAGGTCAAAATGGGCTCATTCCGGTCAGCGTTTGGTTCTTCACAGACTTGTGAGTATTTATAAATATTTCTATATGTCATTGAATTTTATAACTGTATTTTGCATGTAGATTCCCTTAATTTTTTTTCCATTTGTCTAGATAATATGACTTAATTTTTCCCGGTGATTCTTTTTCACTGTGTAATTTTCCTTTGCCAAATAAGATTATTGGTTTGTTTTTCCTCTATTGTTTTACCACTTCTTGGACATCTAGACATAGTGCTTTTAAGTCACCCCAGATAACTACTTTGTGGGTTTCATAACAAGTAATGGCTCTAGTGTGGATCTAGAAAACTGAAAGAGAATCTCACCTGTGATGGAATTTATACTCACAACCTCCAGATTAGGAGTCCAGCGCTCATTGGCTACACTAATGTTCCTTATTGGTGCTCCCAAATCCTATATTGATCAAAGGGAGTTAAATCTTTCTTATATAAATTGCTCACTTCAGACAGTCAATATAAAAGGGAGAATACAGGTTTTTTACTTTGTTTTGTTGAATAATGCATATTTACTACAGCAAATAGCAGGAAATTATATTTTGAAGCTTTATTAAGCAAAAAAATGAACATAATTACTGAATCTGTTCTCTAATGACGTAAAAATAAAATAACTTACGCTCGTATATTAAGAGTAGTTTTTGTTTTTAAAGGAAATAAAGTTTGATAGTATGTGAAACAGAATTTTCCTAGATTAACAATAATAGCAGTGTTTCCACCAATGAATATTGATGATCATAAATTAGAGCTTGGAAGTTTTTGTCTTTTTCAAGGAAGTAAATTTAGGTATCGGAATTTTTGTTAGTTTATCAGAAATCAGTTGAAATAAGATTTCAGAATTAGTTTTTGTTATTGATATCCTTAAGCATTGTCATAGTAGTCTTTATCTATTTTAGACTTTTCTCTCAATTTCTAATATTAGTACATGTATGATTTGTTTTACAATGGACCTTTCCAGTATTTATTGTTTTATGCAAACTGGCTTAACAGCTACAATTGCTACACTGGTATAATGTCTCATATTGGAAGGAACAAACCTCAGGTGGTCCTTCAAGTTTCATCAGATAGCAATGACATGCTAACTTGTATTTTTCACCGTAACAGAAGGTCATGACTGTCAAGTAATATAACTTTGTTTGCAATTTTTTGGGCAATTTTTTCTGTCCATGACTGAGCAAACGGGAAATGATAATTGAAATGTTTTTACTGACAAGAATCTGGACCAGGATTTGTTTACCAATTAGGTTTTTATTGTATGTTTAAACATATTGAAAGCCCTTAAATTTTGAATGGACTAGTCCAAAGCCAAAGCTGGGAGAGTCCATCACACAGATTCAACAGGCAATGGGTTAAATCCTTTGAACTTACTATTGATTGTTTTTGCATTTAAAGCAGGACACATTCATATTAGTCATTTAATGATTCTTAGAATTTTGCTGATATTGTAAATTGGCTTTGAATCATGTTAATATATTTTGTAAATTTATATAAGTTGAAAAATGTATTTGTGTATTTCTGTGAAAAAAAGCTATTTCTGATGTTGTGTTATGTGGTTTATTTATAATTCCAGTCTTAAGTTAGATCATAATATATTTGTTTATTTTTTCAGCCCGGAATTTACTGAGGGTGTCGTTTAAAGACTCTAACTTAGGTCAGTCACACACGTTAATGTCCACTGACGAGCACGATAAACGACAATGGTTAACTCACCTGCATCAAGCTGTCAAGGTCACACAAACTGACAGTATGCACAAAAATGACAAAGACAAACCCACCAACTGAACTCAAAAAAACTGATATTTGGCTGGTAACTTTGAAAAAATCCTTGTACGAAAAAGGTAGAAAAAAGTATGTATTTTGTTTGTTCACTCACAAACACACGACACGATGTCATATTCTTGTACACAAGTGCTATGATGGGATTTTGTGAGGGGATTTTGTCCGAGCTCGTATGACATTGGCTAGCTGATACAGGAATTTTCTACATGACTGTGAATACTCATGATGAGGAACAGGGTTGTTAATATCTGATACATGTTTTAAAAAAAGCATGAAGAATGAATTTAATTTGACAAGGGATGATAAATGTATAAAGGTGTAACCATAGCAACAAAAGGGACCAAGATGAAATGAATGTGTTTTAAGCAAATCAGATTAAAAACATGTTGGTTTTCTCACCTTGATTGACACATGAAACAAGAAATGAGACAACTTTTTTTAAAGCTATGTACAGACATATATAATTGTTTATGCGTGGCTGATTTAAAGAAGAGACATGCTAAAGTTTAGATGATAGATTTGAAATAATTACTTTGCTATGCTTTCAACAACAGATTGACTTTTGTTATGAATGTATATTAGTAATGGACACTGCATAAACAGGTTCTAGACATTTGGTATTACAAACAGTTTTGGAAATGATGTTGTTAGAAGGAGAAGATTTTTCTATGAATTGTGGATTAAGTTCTTTTTTTGCTTTGTTGTTAGTTTGGAAAAGAATGTTTAGATCTTTAGCATTTTTCTCCATAGATACATCATTTTTGTGTCATGTTTGTTGCATTTTACCTTAGAAATTGTTATACATCATATCAGAAGTAAGGTCAATTTATCATATTGTTGTGTAAATTAGTGTTATAAATTATTGTCCTTTTTGTCTAAAGCTTTAAATGGACCATTTGCTTATCCCTTTGAATGTTTTGGGCTTTAATTACAAAAACAATTGATTACCTTTACTGTAGGATAGACTGAAAATTAAAAAGTCACAAAGGTACAACAGGGTTGGGGGAGGGGGTCCATTTATAAAACCAATATTCATTCATGTTCCCAATCCCAAATACATGTTCTTTACTTTATCTCCCATTTTAGATGAATATTTCCAATTCAAAGAAATAAAACCCTAAAAAAAGATAAAATTATCAACATCCTAACTACACTGTACCACAACAAATTGTGTTTTTCTGTTCCAAATTTTAAACTGTGCTTATAATTGAAATACAACAAAATTTTAAAGAACAAATTATTTAATTTTCTTGTTTTATTTGACTTAGTAAAACAGTGCACACTTTCCCAATTTTGTCTAAAATGACCCTTAAATTCCAAATTTCAGAGTCAAGTCACATTCCGAAAATGGTGAGAGAGAAAATTCTGTAATCAATATAAGCTTTGAAAATAAATAAATGAATTTCTAAGGATTTAGCATGTGATCAGATAAAGGAAAATGTTAAGATCTGTATTAGTCAATGAAGTATCAGCTATACCCAGTCATAGGGTAGAAATTAAGTTTCTGAGGCATGATACTTTCATCTCATTGTCTACATATTACATAAAGTTAAAGACCTGTTACTACAAATTGATCATTTCCCCGACATTTGAGTTTTGTACATACATTATACATGTAGATTAGAAGATGTACATTTGTGAGGCCAGTAATATATAACATTTTTTTTATTTCTTTGATTTCTCTCTCATTTCTTTCTACTTCCATCTCATCTTCTCTATCTTTCCTTCTGTCTTGTACATATTTTTTACTTCTTTTCTACTTTTTTCTTAATGACATCATTTGTCCTACATATGCAATACATTTTTTGTTACTTAATGATTTTTTTTGTTTGTTTTAATGGCAGTGTCAGGGGGACATATTTACAGGCATTTACAAATTGTACATATCTCTAGTTTTGGAAGATATTTAAATCTTTCATGCTAACATAGTCAAAATTGGTGTCAGATTGTTTTATGTAGGTTTTTTTTGTTTTTTTTTAAATGCAATTAAATTTCATACCTTCAGCTATTTTCTTCTTCTTAAAACTAATATCTTGTACACCGTAATTCGAAAAAAAAAAAATACAAATTTTCTTGAAAAAAAAAATCAAAACCATATTTTGAGAGAATAAAACAAAGTTTTTTTTTAAATGTGACTTATCTATCTTTATGTATTTATTTGGCCTGTGGTAAACAAGATTGTAATAATTGTAATAAGATAATCCAGTATGCCAGTTACTACTGGTTACTACATGTAATCCCCTTACCGCTGGGGGTTTCAAATCCTGCCAGAGACTATAGATTATTTTACATGAGAAATCTGTCGAGCTAGCTTATTGTTTGGTGGCTGTTTTTATCTGATACACACACTAATGCCTGAAATATTGCATGTAAAGGTACATGGTGTGTTCCTCCACCAGTAAACCTGGAAAGTTACCATTAGCGTTGGTGTTGCTCAAAATCCAACCCCAAAAATCAAACAGTTATTATGCATAAGCATTTTTTTTTTAAGTTTTTTTTTTTTTTTTTTTTTGAAAAGATGAATCATTTTGTAGCTGATTTTATTTATTTGATTTTATTGTAAAATGATTACAGGTTTAGATTGACAACAAGGTCAAAGAACTTGGCTTGTAGGTCACAGTAATACGTATGTATAGCGAGAGAGAAAAAATGAAGTGAATATGTGGTCAGTTGTCCATGACAAGAGTCATCTTGACATTAACGGAATACATTTTTAAGCATGATGGTCTATTATAATTAACCATAAAGTATATTTTAAAGAAAAGGAAGGGGGAGGGAGGGAGAGAGTAGAGGGATGGAGGGGGGAGGGGGGAGGGAGGGAGAGAGAGAGATATGAAAAAAAAATGACGTATAATTTTTGATATATTTTTTTTGTTTGATTGATAAATTAAAGGAAAACAAACTCACCATTTTTGACCAAGCACTTTTTCATGTTTTGATGTTTTCTGGGTTGTTAGTAGAAAAATTAATTGAAATTGATCATTCTAAAACATTTATTGGGATATCTTGGCAAATTCAAACCTTGTTATCATGTAGCCTCCATCATTTATACCTCTTAATTTATATTTTTTACATTTTTGACATAACCTTTTTTGTTTTCAGGGTATATAAATTATCATTTTGTAATATAAAGTTAAACCTGTATTAAAGACCACCTCCGAATAACGGTCACTCCATAAATTAAGGTCTTTATTCAACAACCTTTCATTGATTAAATAAAACATAGTAACCTACAAATAAAGACCACCTTTCTGTAAAGGGCATATTTGGTTCTTCCTTCCGATGTCCTTTATTCACAGGTTAGACTGTACTGAGAATTTGTAGGATCTAGTACATTGTATTAAGTGACCATAAGTACTTTTAGTCATTTAAATTTCAACGTTTTGCCATGTTTTGTTGTCTTGTGTATGTCTTGCCTTTAATGCCATATTTTGAATGTTGTGTAATGTATTCAGCTAGTCAGTGGAGGAAATAATCTTAGTGCCAAGTAGAAACCTGTCAGTCTACCCACTCACACCATAATGTTTTACATTATGTTACTAAATACAGTATCACTTGCTTTTTTGCAAACATGACCTTCAAATTTAACTCATATATTGTAGTTTGTTTTGGATTATTTTTGTGACATATCAGGATTGATTTTTGACTTAATAAAAAAATAGATATATAGAGGATACTCAAGTTTTTTCTATAAATACAGGATTTATTTTTTATGGAGTGGTATGACAATAAATATTTCACAAGTTGCTGTAGTCACAAGTGAAATATGGTCATTTTCATACTACAAGATAAAAATAAATCCTATATTTATAGAAAAACATGGAATTTTCTTTTTATTTTATACTTTTTCTCCTTCTTTCTTTCCCCTTATGATTGGAAAGACTTCTCCTTTAATTTTGTGTTTTGGCTGAATTTAGAAGAAAATAGGCAAGATAACAAAATGAGAAATAAATTAAACAGTGACAAAAAGGAAAATGAAAAAATGAATTGTATTTCATCAATATGTATATGTATATCATAAATTACCAATTTTTGCAAATAGATTACAGCTATGTTTGAATTATCCTCTAAAATCAATATACTTTAATTATAAGCTTTTTAAGCTTCAAATTTGATATCACTTGGCACAAATTATTTAATTGTTTTCCTTTGGTGCTTACTTGTGTGTGTAAAAAGTAAACATTTTAGTGTTTATCCATTTTTGTCATTTTTTACTGCCATACTGTAAATTTTCATAGGGAATTATTTGCAATGGAAATTAGAAAAAAAGCGTAACTTTTGATCATAATTTTATGCTATGAAAGATTTTTTTGCATGTACCCAAAGTTAATGTTAATTCATTGGTATTTAATAGCTTTGTTCATTTATTCTTGATGAAATTTTTTTTGTTTGTTTGTCCTAAAAATGTTTTTTTATACTTGATTTTTTATTATGTTACTGTACATATATATTAAACATAACTCATGTATATTTAAGTTTACACAATGTTCATGTGTATCATGTTTACACAAACAAACATATCTTGTCCCTAACATCTTCAGTCATCATATAAGCTTACACATTAAAACAGAAAATATAAGTGGCAGCATGGCTTAGCAGTTAAATGTATCAAAAGTAATCTAAGGATTGCTGGCCGAGTGGGTTAAGATCCCATCAGGTCCATGGGCAAGAAACATTACAATTGACTTATTGCTTAGTACTGGTTGGTCCCAGGAATGGAGTTTAGGTTTCTTTTTCTGAAATCTGTAAATGGCTACACAAACATTACACAAAATGAGTGTTATAAATAACCTAATAACAAAATCAGCATTCTTAATTACTGTATTCCTAGAAATGTTCGCGGATACAATATTTCGCGTTTTTCACAACGTCGGCATTTTCGCGGAGACCAACTTTCGCGGATATGTAGTAACCGCGAATTCCGCGAATGTTAAGTCGCTACGGTCTAAATTACAGCTTTTAGAGGCTACGTTTTTGATGCATGACCTTGCCTGATGGGTGCTTTTAATTATTTTATTTTTTGACAAGTCGCGCCTTAAGCGCAACGTTACTCGATTCATTTTCATCTATTGACTAGTTGAACAAGGACGGTTGTTCCGTGAACACTTTCATATTTCCTTACCTTTCATTATGTTATTAAGTAAGATTTAGTCAGACCCGTTAGCTTTTATTCTCATTTGAATCCTAACTGACTTTATCTTCAAATGTCGATACTTTTTTTTACACTGTAGCACTTTATCACTTTTGTACTTTTAACAAAGGATTACACCTACTCCAAGCAAATAAAATCCAAGTCATTCAATGTTCGCAAACTGTAAATGCGTTTGTCAAGGCTGTGACTAGCAAATAACGTCAATAAGCATGATAATTACTAATAATTGATATTTTGTTTTTCAGCGTACTAGTATCAATAACATACATAAATTAATCTTTACACATTTCTATAGCTTCTGTGTTTATATGCTGTTTTTTGTGTAAGTAGATTATAGTAAATATTCTGCACTTTTTATGTTATATTTGGCTGAAGCTAGAAATGTTCGCGGATTTGTTATAAGTGATATATTCGCGGCTATAAAGATTCGCGGAATCATGCCTACCGCGAAAACCGCTAACTTAAAATGCGCGAAATCTTTTCTAGGAATACAGTAATCTTTAACTTGGATGTTTATTCTCACACATATTCCAATTTATATATATATAAACATATAAATTATAATAGATATATATTTGCATGTATTCAGTATTACCCCACACATAACCTCAGTATAGTAGTATTCTTACAGTACTAGTATCATATTTGTATTTACCTATTGTTATAAACTGAACCATGTCTTACACAAGTTTACTAGATTACATTAGACTACATTCTTATCCATTTTTAACTTTATCCAATCTTATTTTAACCTTATCTTACCCATTCTAATTTTAACCTTATTTTACCCATTCTGAGTATATTATATTTTTATCGCCCACTTTAACATTACCCATTCTAATTTTAACCTTATCTTTCCCATTTAAATTTTGCACTTAACCTTACCCATTCTTTAATCTTTTAATTTTTGCCTTACCCAATTAACTACATTTACAACTAAATTCAGTCTGAAATTGCCAAATTCAAATAAATGTTTTCTAACCAGTTACCCACTTTAACATCAAAAATAATTTGCATAAATAAAATCTAGATATTTTTCATGCTAATCTTTCCCATTCTTCACACCTGAACTAATATTTTTACTTGCATGTTATTGAATTATTAAGAACTAATCTCTCACATACTCACAGTTGGTATTTCTGAAGCTTTTAAATGAAAGCTTAATTGATTAATCAATTACTTGCTTGATTAATTAATTATTTTATACAGCAGGTACTTTCTTAACAAGTTAACATGTTGACAAAAGCTCATTTAGAGCTCAAAGTGTAAGTTCTGTTAAAAGCTCATTTGAGATTAACATAATTACATTACAGTTGATGTTGTCGCCTGTTTCAGTTTAGAATACACATTTTGAGAGCTCTATTTGTTAACAAAACCTCTAGTTGGAATATTTGGTGATGTCAATATTTTATCGTATTTTTTCTTTTCTTTTCCTTTTTTTTTTTTGGGGGGGGGGAGTGGGATAGAATAGAACATTCAGTGTAATGTGAAACATATTCACTTTTTTATGCAAGCTTTTCTAAGCTTTGATTTTTTTTTTGCAAACAAAATCATTTTGGCATAGCATAAGAAAATTAATTTTTTAATCTTAGCTGAAGCAGAACAACCTGTTTTGAAATAAAATTCAGTAACTTCATTATAATCATACATATGACAGTGTTTGTGTATTCTAGGTTAAGTCATTTTCTCATTTAAGACTAAAGCTCAGTTTGAGTTTGTTTTTTTCGTTGTTCTTTTTTTTTTTGTGTATAAGTAAAATATTATCTAGTTTTAGAGTGATTTTAATGTAAGTTTTGATATATATACACGAGCATTATGACCAGGAATATTAAGTTTCTATGTATCATTGAGATTAAACAAAAAAAGCTCTGAAAGAGCTTTAAAAATAAGTAGATATTGTATCATTTGAGACAAAAGCTCACCTCGAGCTGTTTGTATGAGTAGAATTCATTTTTAAAAGACCCCATAGAATAATAATTGTTTAAGTTAGGGTGTGCTTTAAGCTTATCTTTGTCACTGCTTCATATAAATGTGTAGTGCAAAAATATAATATACTTATTTCTTTTTTATTGCATAAAAGCTCAGTTTTAAAATATATTCCTTACTTTTGCTAGAACTGAGCTTTGAAAAGCAGTACCATTTCAATTGTATTATCACTTAAGAAATTTTTTTATTAGCTGTTATTTTTTTGCTTTTAATGAAAGCAGGTGTATAGCTGTATGGTAGATACTTTAGGTATCTCCATCTATATTTCCTATCTGTGGATGATCTTTCTACTGCACTCAACTCATTATTTCATTAAAACTGCCAGATTCTAGATCTAGATAATGTACTTTATATTCTGATTGGATGTATTAATGCTATTATATAAAATACATATATAGATATATAGCGTTTGTTCTGAAGTTTATGTTAATTTTACTGACAATTTTGGATATTTAATCAATTCATAAAACAAATTTAGATTTGGAATATATGTCATTGGTCAGTTATGATATTTCTCATTTGTCTAGAACATTTTTTCTTAATATGTTGATTCTAGCAACTTAAATAGTGATAATTACTGAAGTAAATCTTAATGTTAATGTTTTTGACCACCAAAGTATATTGTT